GTTCCTTATTATATACAAAGCTTTATGAAATTCTGTTGTGTGGTTTCAAGGAGTTGCGATTAGAAACTGTTGAAGTAGCTATATATATATATTAAGGCCAAACTTCTAAGTTCAAAGGGGGCATAACTCCTAGACAAAATATTGAATGATAATTACCTGTCAATTCGTCCCTCTACAAAGTATGTCCTAACTATTTACAAAGTTTCCGGAAATCCTGTTTTGTTGTGTCAGAGGAGTTGCAATGACAAACTGTTGCAGTAGTATAGGCCAATATTCAAGTTCAAAGGGCATAACTCATAGTTAATCATAATTTCCTGTCGATATGCACATCTACAAATTATGTTTATTATCTATAAAGTTTCATGAAATCTGTTGTGTTGTTACAGAGAAGTTGATATGACAAACTTTGAAATAGTATATTTAGGCCGAAATTCTGAGTTTAGAGAAGCATATTATTCCAAGAAAAAATTGAATCATAACTTTCTGTCGGTATGCACATCTACATAGTTTATCCTAACTATCTACAAACTTTCATGAAATTCTGTTGTGTGGTTTCTGACAAGTTTCGATGAGAAACCGTTGCAGTAGCATATTTAAACCATAATTCTAGGCTCTAAGGGGCATAACTCCTAGAAAATATTGAATCATAATTTTCTGACGAAATGTATATCTACATATTAATATTTTCTAAGAATCTACAAAGTTTCATGAAATTCTTTTGCACGTTTTAGAGGAGTTGCTATCACAAGAACAAGACTGACGAATGGACTGGTTCATCGACGGACTGAAGGATGGACGGTGGACATGTCAAAATATTACACCCTACGGAACTAAAGATGTTTAAATGTATCTTTGAAACATTTCCCGTTTCAATTCTAAAGTTTATAATAAGGTAAAAAGCTAATGTTTCATGAACATATTAAAATTTCGGATTTATGGCAACTTTATATCCAAAATATTGCTCAGAAAACAAAATTATTATTATATAACTCGAATATTTAAACCCGTAAGAATTCAGTGCCAAAGGAAGGAATATCAGCAGTAGGGGCAAATGTCATGTTCCCTATGACATGTAAGAATCCAGTAGTACATATAGCCATGTGATATGGTTGTTTTATGGCGTATATATCTACCTTAAAGACCATGGATGACCTAGAAAATTTTACACCCCTACAGCAATTAAGCCTATTTGGATATGGGCGGTCCTTAGATAGATAAGAAATGGTTTAAACAGCTGATGATGATAATGTAAACAATAACACATGTTGAAATGGAAGGAAATGTATGTAAATAAAATAACTTACTGTACACATTATTTACATGATTAATTATGAAGAATGAAAAATAACAATTGAATAAATCCACTTTCTTAATTGTTTTGCCATAGTTCCAAATGTTTATGTAGATGTATCTGAACATTATAAAGAACTTTATAGTTCTGAAAACTGTCTTGTAAATGAGAAATATGGTCACAGATAAATAGAGATTATTTGTCTTTTCCATATATTGTTCCTATAAGTGTAAGATGGCGGTTTGTAATTTTTCTTTCCTTTCATGCTGCTTTGTGCATTTTTCCTTTCAGGATTCCAAATAGATGCAAAGCGTCTGTCCACATTTTCATTCCAGTGACAGACTGCTAAACAGGCTCTTGTGTTATAATTTGTATCACTAAACACAATTCTCTTGTCCTGAAACATGTTCATTGTATTGTTATAACGTTCTATATATGATGTATCCCGCGCAAGAACAAAATGATCTGGACTTTTGAAAATTACAGAATTATGGATCACACCTATACGAAGTTTTTCTGCTACAGGTCATGTGAGGACTATCCTTTTAGGTTCATAATTAAGATCTCTTTTGCATCTCGAGTCTGGATGACATTTAGTATGGTTGTTTTTGTAATGTTCCACAACATTAAGCAAAAGATCATTCAGCTCTTTATGATTTTGTTTGCAATTACAAATTGCCCAATGAAAGTGAGTGGCTGCTGATTCTACCTTGTCCTCAAGCTGGTCTGACCATGTTTTATCACGTAAATATTTTGGCTCAGAGGATAATTTTGTTTTATGGCACTTCACACAGCTTTTATTTCATGCCATGAATCATTCTGGTTTACTTCATCAGAATCGCATGTAAACTTATTTATACTCATGTTTCTGTCATGTGAATAAATACCCACTTTTACATCATCATCTTCTAAGTACTGGTATATTGTGTTCCAAGTTTCTCGTGTCTCTGTGATACAAAGTCGTCTGCCTTAGTAACATGTTCTCATTTCAGTACCTTGTGCATTTTCTCTCCAATGGCTACAACACTTGTATCCTTAGCGTTTTTTCTCTAACCATGGCGGGCATCAGTCATATAATGTCGATACTTGTAAAGTCTTCATACATGCCAACTTCTTCCATCAATGCTGTTTCAATGCTGCCATTGTACTCCTCATCAAAAAACTGTTTATAATTATTAAACATGTAGCTTTGTTTAGACTTGTTGATATGTCCAATATTGGCCCCCTGTGAAAATCTGTCGTAATGTACCGATAACATCCCACTGCATTCATATCCATGGAAGATTCTTGAATAACCATGTATTCTCCATTTGGCAAATACGGAAATGATGACCAAAGTACAGAATGATGCTTATCCTTGTCACATGTAAAGCTAATCGCTGCTTCATGTTCTTTCTGAGGTAGTTTTTTAACATTAAAGTGACCTGTACAAAATGAAGAATGATTTTCTAAAACACTGACCAATTTCTGTAAAAAAGTTTCAGCTGTCACAAAAAGTCGCTTATCAACATCCTTCTTTTTCACCTGAATAAATGTGTTTAAATTCATATTTTCCAATTTGGTCTCAGAGTCGTCCAGACTGTGTGTTGAAATAAATTCATCAAGAATATTCTCAAAAATGTTAGCATTATTAACAGGATGATTCATCTCTTTGACTATTATACTTCGGACATGTTGTAATTTATCCAGTACAGATTATTTCTTACTATCATCACAAGGTATAGAAATTTTTAAACAAAGAGGTCTTTTAGATTCCTTTTCCATCATTTAGGTATTGACAACTTATAAAAAATGGATCTAAATATAAGTTGGAAACTGGATACCTACATGGTATATGAGCCTGTATCTACAGGGTATCAACAGGAGTTCTGTAATGATCATGAAGAAATGATCTTACTTGCTTATTGAAATATTTTTTTTTCGGACTTGTTTTCCTCTTTCCTTTAAACATGTTAAATAAAAAGAAGAAATCAATGATATGAATTATTTTAAGAAAATCATTGAAATTATTTAATTTATCCTGCACTGACTCCTGAGTAAAATGCTACATAAAAATAACCAGGGATCACAGCAGGACAACACCTTGATTAATTTTTACATATAAAAGTCATAGATAAAACTCTAATATTTATTATGCCTGTGGAATCTCATCTGTTCTACACACAAAATAAATAAAATAAATAAAATGCCCTAGGAATTCATCCATGCTTTGTGATAGAATATGATACTGTCCATAAATCTTAGATAACAATTTTAGAGGGAAAGCTGATGTTTACATTAGTTTCTACATAGAAGTGTGGTCATCTCTGCAAATATGTCAACTGAGAGCACAATATTATCACTTTTTGTAAATGAAGAACAGAAAGAAACAATTCTAAATTTGTTTGGATACTATAACTGGGAGGTAAAAGAATTAAATGATGAACAAGCAACATGTGTCAATGAAACAACTCAAACTGATCAAATTCCTGAAAATGATGATTACAATGCATATGAGGAAACAGATGAAAACAGATTTGTTATTCAGCAAAATGAAGATAGTAACGAATGTCCTTTCTGTTTGTGTAAACCATGTATTACTGATGAAAGCAACAGACAATTGTTGTGGGAGACGGAGTGTCAGCAAAGACATAGGAGAAATAACAGCTTGAAAAAGGAAAAATATAAATACTTTTGGACAATGATGTGCCATCGAGATGTTTGGAGAGATGATAGATATCAGGAAAGACAATTGCAAGCTTCGGCACGTGATCCAAAATTCAGAAAATTTGTATGGCATAAACGAGATATAATGCCAATCTGTGTATTGAAACTTGTGCGAAACTGGCACCCCAATCTTGATAGCATCCCATACATGGGCCACCTATGGGAATAACCATTTTGCAAGTCATAAGTTTTACAATTAATAATTCTTCATAATTTACCTTTCTTTTTAAATCCAGACCTCATAAGCTATCTTGTTCTGTTCATGGTTTAAAAAAAAAAACGAAAAAGTGACTACATGGTTTACCTGTGAAATTGAAACTCGTACTTATAGAGATTATATATAATTCCTGTGGTGTTAAATACATTTATTAGTGACCATTCTTTGGATGTCTTGATAGACTGACTAGGATAATAATATTTATTTCCATGTTGGTTGGTAAGTAGATTATCAGTACATAAGTGCATGAAGTATAATCTAGACATGAATTTATTCACATGTTGTACACTTCCTGTGTAAATATAAACATAAAGCTGTTGCAATGGGAATCTCCTCCCTATCTGTCAATCACCAGATTTGAATTTGAACCTCATTTCATTTTAAAATGATTTACATATTAATTAGATTATTTTTTTCAAACTGTTTGGCTCTAAATAATTCTTGTTTATGTTCCCACCTCTGTAATTATTTTAAAGTAAAAAAGTAAGTAATGAATAAGAAATATCAAACAATGTTCCATAGACCTAAACCCTGCCATAAATTTGACTATATCCATATTTTCATGGATTGTCTCTCTTTAATACCTGTATGGAATAAACTATTAAAGTAAGTCGTATATGCACTTTGCGTTGTGTTTACTTTGCGTATATTATTTACAATGGCGAAGCCCATACAAGGTACAAATAACGTAACAAACATGTAAACGTAAGTACAGGAAACGTAACGTTATTACTTCGTACTTTTCTCAACATACTGGGGCCGCAAAGTGTATTATGTACAAAACAATGGAATATTACTTTTAATGTTCATCAATAAAGAAAAGAAATTTAATTTTACACTTGCAGGAATTACTGTCTTTTCATAACACAAAAAATAGGAATTTGAATTAAACTTTAACGAGTCCATGATTTTATTCTTTCCTTTGCACGAATTGATGCCTTCCGCACGGGCAATGTTCTTGTCGGTATTTCTTCGTTGTTTGGTTCGTCCACATATTCATCAGATGGTGGTACTTCGTTTATTTCTAGAGGATAGAGTTTGACGATCGGACGTGAAGTTCGACCACTGTTCGTTCTGATTATCGCCGAACGCACTAAACCATCGTTACCAGTAACAACTTCCTCAACTACTGCTGTTTTCCATTTTATTCGCGGTTTATCGTCATGCACTTGAACTACATCTCCTACTTTAATGTTAATCTTATTGTCTCCGGTCTTTTTATGAAATTCTCGAAGTGAGGTTAAGTACTCAAATTTCCAACGGTTCCAAGAATGTTCAATAAGTGTAGATAATCTTTAATGTTGTCAATTTCGGTACGTGGATACGGTAATGTTGTAACTCGGCGTCCATACAACAGGTGCGCGGGTGTTAACGGTTCACTATCAATAATGTCTGTAGAAACATATGTATTGACTGCTTCAGATATTTCAAAGCGTGCTCAAAGATTATCCTAGTCACGGCACCATAAATGTATGGAATAAACTAAGTAAGTCGTATATGTACTTTGTGTTGTGTTTACTTTGCGTATATTATTTACAATGGCGAAGCCCATAAAAGGTACAAATAACGTCACAAACATGTGAACGTAAGTACGGGAAACGTAACGTTATTACTTCGTACTATTCTCAACAATACCCTAGCCCCGGTCTTTAATGCATACTAAGCAGTTGTTGGCATTTGTAACTTTACGACGGGTGCCACTTGTGGAGTATAAACTGTATGAACTTCCAAAACTCCTGAAACCTTTTTTGGTTTCTGTTAGAGTTCCTGTTCGCCAATCTTTAGTATATTTTTTGCGTAGTATTTTGTGGAATGTTATTTGCCTTTTTATCGTTTCTCTTTTGTTTTTGCATATGGTGTTGTCTTTTATTATTTACTCATGGTTTTTGATTATACTGTTCATGACAAAAAAGTATAATTAGAAAATTTAGCGAAATCATCATCAATTCAAATGAAATATTTCATTACAAGTATATTATGACTCTTTTCACACGCTCTGAATCTACACTCGTTGTAAAAATACGAAAACATTGTTTGTCAGCTGATCTGCAACGTCCTTATTTGTGATATAGATCTAAAATAACTATTTGAGATATGCATACTTTTGAAAGTGGTAAAATATTTTGCATTTCAATTACCAAATGTAAAATAGTTATCGTATATATAACATATGTCTCTCTCTGCTTATAATATATAACATTTGAAAATTTTATATTGTATGAATGTTATTCATTAAATAATATTAATATATACAATGCAAGGACAGCTCAAAATAGAATATTTAAAATACAACAATATCACAAAAAAACTGTGCCTTGTACTAATTATTCTTGCTCTGATGTAAACCTTTTGATTTAGTACCAAATCTATTTTGAAAAATAGTATCCTTTGGTTTTTGTCCTAGTTTGGTTTTGCTATGTTGAACTGCTTTATGGTTTACTAATAGTTTAACTACTTCCTCGATCTTACATTCACGAGCAATATGAAGAGGTGTATAACCTTGTCTATCAGGTTTGTTTACACGCGCATTATTCAATATTAACATTTCCACAATATTATACATACTATGTGTACATGCTTAATGCAGCGGTGTTCTGTCTATTTTGTCTGATTCATCTATCTTGGCTTTCTTTTCAATCAGGTACTTAATTACATCTTCATGTCCCTTTTCACAAGCTATGTGAATGGGTGCCATACCTTTCGCGTCTTTTTCATTAATTGATATAACATCATTCCTGGTAAGTAGTCTAACAATATTTATATCACCTGTTTCACATCCATAATGAAGTGCAGTCTTTTTATCCTTATCTTTAATATCTCTGTCAGCTCCACCTTTTATGAGACATTCAACAATACGAACATGTCTGTTTTTACATGCTATATGGAGGGGTGTTTCTCCCCTTTTATTTTTCTTATTGATATCTGGACAATCACTGTATCTGAGAAAATGTCTAATAACATCTGAATATCCTACTAATGAAACAATATGAAGTACGTTTGACTCAGTTTCTCTGTCTTCAAGCATCTTTACTTTCACTTGTTTTCTAACATGAATGAGAAATTTTGCTCTGTTTTCCGCTGAATGGAATAGGTGATTACATAAAACATCATCAATGAAATTATTATTCATGTCAGATGTAAGACGACGATAAAAGTGATCTTCCATGTTCTGTTGTACGGTAATAGCATGGCGGCAACCATCTGTTTGTGATGAAAATAGCCGTAGTTTTTCTTTGATAAATACACTACTGCTGTGTGTTAGAATACTTTTTATAAATGATCCTCCTATACACATTGCGACAATATCAAACAATTCAGGACATAAAAAAGACAAGAACGTGTCGTCACCCTTGATAAATTCGCCTTTTAATGACGTAAATGTCATGAGCAACATACTTTTAGATGGGTATTGATCGAAACACGATTCATCACAAATGTCTTTAAAAATAATATGATCAGTTTTCTTAGAATTGATCATATCAAGAAGCATTTTATTTTCTACTCTATTGTTCAAGACGACAAGAATTGCTAACGCGAGATAACCAGTGTCGGAAAGTCTTTTGAAGCCAGAAATTTCTGCAGATACAATTTTTTTGGGATGTTTGAAGTATTCTAACACATATTCCTTGTTATGGGACGAACAAATTAATGGATAAAAATGATACAATATCAAAATATCATCAGAAATTAGTTCTGGTGGATCGGATTCAAAGTAAGACTTATAAATTTCTTTTCGTTCTTCCAATTTTAATCGTAGGTTTTCCGCAATTAGATTTTTGTGAATAAATGATACATGCTCTCTCAAAGATTCAAAATACTGTGCGTATAGTTGAAAAATGTATGTTCTGCATGTTATAAGCACCTTAACGGTATCACTTTTTTCAAATATTGTATTTATAGCTGACCCGCACTTTTCCAATTTAGCAATGATGTCAGGTATATTTGACGAGTATTTTCCTAGTATATCATCCATTAGAAAAAGCTGTCTTTGATTTCGATGGAAACGTCTTACAATTTGCTCTGGATCCGAAGCAACGGTTATTTCGTAGCCTTCCTTTTCTAGCCTTGAAATTATGTGGTATGCAATAGCGGTCTTTCCTGATCCGAAGGGTCCAGTAATTAAAACGCACGGGTTTTCTGTGATCGCGAGTAAAATTTCTTCTGAAGCATGAGTAGGTTTAAATTTCATTAAATTGTCTTTCAAACTTTCCATATCGCTTGTGTTTTCATCTTAAACGAAAAAGGTAAAGACATTTAATGACCATATATTTTTGATGGATTTTTTAAGGAAATCAGTTTAAACTGTTAATTTGTAATCAAAAATGGCATGTTTGACAAAGGCATTAAATGGGCTATATATCGTGCACTTAGAAACAAAATCAGTGTATTTTATTTATATATTGTTTAATATTTATCGCCTGTTATACTATATTATTATTATAATTGTATCTTTAGTACATCTTTAAAGGTCCGATGTGTAAGTTGCAGGCATTTGTTTATACACTATCATAGGCACATAATCTATACATAGAATTCAAAATTGTATTGGTATCTTTATATAAATCGTATATATTGTTTCATACGTATTGGTATTGCTGTTAGCATCTGTTTTTCATCCTCATAGATATTTCTTTTGTAAATGCCTTCTGTAAAATGACACAACAACATATACTTAAGTCATAAATGTTATAAATCTTAAAATAAATATGTTAGGTTAATGGCGCCTTCTGTAGGTTTTTTTCATAACGGAATTTTCTAACATGCAATAATATCAAAACGAAATCGATTAAAAGATACGTGACTTTTTGTATTATACTGGAGGAAAACCTCGTTCACAACAAGAATATTTATGCATTTTATTGAAATTGAGGATTTTGTTGCAAATCATGCCAAGACTCTTACAAACTTTCTTATTGATATTTTTGTTATTTCATTTAAACATTGAATACGCACTCCCATTTATTGTTTACACAAAATCCTAATCAAAATTTTAAATCCAAACTAGAGAGCTAATCTGGTGTTCAAAGATACTCCGCCTGCAGATTTTGTTTCTAAAGTTGCAAACTGTGAAATTGTACATGAATAAGAGGTGGTAATATATCGCAAGTGTTAATTCAATGTTAAATACCCAGTACTATGCTTCAGAACTTTGTGCTCAAAATCATTGGCTACTGTAAATAGTTATCAAAGGTACCAGGATTATAATTTAATACGCCAGACGCGCGTTTCGTCTTCATAAGACTCATCAATGACGCTCAGATCAAAATAGTTATAAAGCCAAACAAGTACAAAGTTGAAGAGGATTGAGGACCCAAAATTCCTAAAAGCTGTGCTAAATACGGCTAAGGTAATCTATTCCTTGGATAAGAAAATCCTTAGTTTTTCGAAAAATTCAAAGTTTTGTAACAGGAAATTTATAAAAATGACCATATAAATGATATTCATGTCAACACCGAAGTGCTGACTACTGGGCTGGTGATACCCTCGGGGACGAAACGTAAATCAGAGATTCAAACAATAAATTCGTAATTCGTATTACTGAGTTTACTGCATGTGAATACAAATGTTGTTTTTTTTAACACTCAAATTGATTCTGTATTGCACATATTGCTGTATTAACAATACAATTTAGTCAAGGTAACTACCATGCGCATTCTAGTCAGTGTATACACATTGACGTGTTAATCGAAGGGTTCTATTTCTTTCAACAAGTTTTACCTGATAAAGTGTTAGCTATAAGTTCTAGTCGTTTTCTTCCCTAAAACTTCTGTTTATTGCTCTCATATGTTATGACGTTTCGCTTAAAGGCTTGAGTGATATTCAAAAGATTAATTGAATCAAAATGAGGGACGCATGATCTTCAAGAAAAGAAATAGATCTATAATACTAATTACAATGGTAAAATTGATCGTCTTCTAATTTCATTGAAATACACAAATGTTTTCTTGAAGTTTAAAATAAATAGAAAAATACAGAAATTGCAAAATATTGTTCAAATATTTCGAGGGAAGCAGTTTGCAAACTAAAATTTCCTTTTAGAAAAGGCTTTCTAACTCCTTTCGATTTGACACAAGTTACTGTTTTTAAGCCTGACTTTGCTTTTTATATTTTCGCAGAACTGTAATACTTTATGTTTGGTTTGTTTGGCTCTTGCATTTACAAGAAAAAGCATAATGGTACTGCATTCAGGTGAACTGACTTAAATTTAATCAATCTGTTCTTTAAGGAAAATAATATGCACTTATTGTTAAATTATAAGGACAAAATCAATTTGTCTATAAAACTAGGTTTATCCCATCATTTTTCGGAAAGTACCTGTACCAAGTCAGGAATATGACAAATGTTTTCCAGTCATTCTGTTGGTTGATATAGTCGAGCGTTTCATTGTATCAGGTTTTATGGACTGCTCTCTTTTTGAATATACTTTGGAATTTAGAATTTTTATTAACAAGAATTTGTGTCACCTCTCAGTAAGTAAGTTTGTTTTATCCCTCTTTACCAGTTTTTAAAAACAGAGGAAGAAAATACCAAGAGTAAATTTGAAATTAAGTGTTGTAATTACATAATAATTATTGAAAAACTGGTCATTATCGTGATATATGGACTGCCCACAGGACAGTGGTATTGACTAAGACAGCGATAATGACTGAGCTCTTTTCTGGATTTACCTTTATAAGGAAGGTTCAAACCTAAACATTTAAAAGAACAGAATGTATCAGACCTAAACACGCAAAGTGCTATATGACCAAAAGGGACCTGACAAAAATACCCAAATTCATCTAAGGTCAATACGACAGTTGATGAAAGCGACATATGATATATTTCCTTAGTGTGATAAAAGAGTTCAAGGATATACTTTTACCATCTTTTTGCTCCATTAGGGAAAATAATACTGAAATCAAATGTGTTGTTCTGGCAAAATAAGTTGCTGTAAGTTTAGACATAATATAGTGTTTCTTACCAATGATAAGAATACCAATGATTTGCACGCAACAAATACCTGAAAAACAAGAACAACATTTTTACAAAATTAAAATCATGCTCTTGCATGAAATAGTTTTTTCTTAATTGTTTATAGTTCTATCAAAACAAATGTTTTTATGATTTGACTTGAGATAACCACTTAACTATTTCTCTTCTTCATTTTTAAGATGCTGTTAATTAAAAAGAAAATAAACAGTTTGTATAGCTCTCAATTATATTGTAATAAAATATACTTAACCAGCAGTGTCAGATGTATATTCTAAATTAATCTACAGATCTACGTACTGCTAAATCTGGGATCAAAATCTTTACAATTTACAATGTCGTAGTAATATCAAAACTTTTGTTTCTTCTACGATTCAATTTTAATAGATAATAAGTTTAAATTGGCCCCAATATGCTATAATCAGCATGACTAATATGCAATTTAAAAGATCAACTTATGTTAACCATACGTTTAATATGGCTGTTTGGCACGGTTAATAGGTGTTTTCATACGGACCAGCTGTATTTATTTCCTGTCAAAATAACTGGCGATACGGACCAGCTGTAGCTACTTCCTGTCATAAGAGCTGGCCATACGGACCAGCCATATGGACTGTTTTGATTATTTAATAAAAGTGTTACGAACTTGCTGATTCTGTATTGGCCCTGTATTGATTCTGGGTCAGCTGTATTAGCCCTCGGCTATACGGTTCTCTAACGGGCCGAGGGCCAATACAGCAGACCTTGAATCAATACATAGGCCAATACATAATTAGCAAGTTAGTAACACTATAATATTACCCACGCTCATTTGAAATATCAAATACATCGTCTCGTTGAACAGGGCTTTTTCTAAAAAAAATTGGAATCGTAGATACAAAAGAAAGTTGGTATTCCAATAGGTACTTATTGTGCAATCCTACTAACCGACTTCGTTTTGAGCTCATTTAAAGTAGAATTCAGAAAAACATTCCTTTAAGAAAAAGAACAAAAAAAAATCATTTTGCAAGGTTCTTTAATGTCACCTTTAGATATAATGATGAAGTTTTCTCGCTCAATAACCAACATTTCAGTGATTGCTTGAATCTTGCATCTCATATATCCAAGTGAATTTGAGATTAAGGATACTACCAAAACTAGAAGGTTTGTTTAATATCTTGATCTTTTCCTCCTCGATATTAACACAGTTGGACCACTTCAAACTAGAATAAATGACAAACTTGATGATTTCAACTATCAAATTGTAAACTTTCCATTTCTCTGCATAAGCATACAATCAGCCTCATCGTATTGCGTTTACATATTTTGATTTATACTTTCCGGTCTTACATGTTCAAACTATATGGACTCCTTTAGTGCTCCTTCCATGAAAAATGCTCCAACAGAGATATGAAGTTAAAAGACTGAAATCGACACTAAGTGAGTTTAACAGTCACCATCACGAATTAATTTGACGGATTACCTCAGTTTTTGTTTGTTATCTTGATTGGTCTTCTTAATCGATTTATGAGATTTAAATATCGGTAAAATACTGTCGTCTAAATTTATCAAATATTTGGTAAACAAATCTTCAAACTATGTTGTTTCCAATAAAATGTATCATTGCTTTATGGACGGAAAGTCTGTATAAATTTTACCGATGGTGTGCTATTCCCGATTGTGACATGTTGACAGGGTGGATTCGCATGGAGGGTGATGCAGAGTCTGATGTAGACGAAACATGCACCAGGCGTAACAACTTATACACCTGGTATCTTTGATGAGTTTTTTAATCCGGAAATACACTCAATTACAGTAGTTTCGTTCGTACGGGGTTTTTTATGAGCGGAAGTACAGAAAGAAAGTAATATAACAAAGATACCGGACTCAATGGAAAATTCAAAACGGAAAGTCCTTTATCAAATGGCAAAATCAAAAGCTGAAACAAATCATTCGAATGGAAAACAACTGTCATATTCCTGACTTGGTACAGGAATTTCCTTATGTAGAAAATGGTGGATTAAACCTGGTTTTATAGCTAGCTAAACCTTATTTCTGTTAAGGCAGACCGAACGATATTATCGGCCAGTATCGGACTATATATTCTGACATCTTCTGGCATTAATTTATTATGACCTTACAAATCAAATAAAAACATTAATTATTAAATCTAAGATATGTCAGCAAATATGATTAAAAAAGTTACCTATAACCAGCAAAATCAGCACCGAGACGACAATTTTTAGGACAGGAACTGTAAAAAATAACAATGTATTTTTTTGTTGTTTAAAATGATTTTCAAAGAAAATTGGGATAAAATTATAAACTCAAAAAATTCCCAGTAACTATTGACATTTCCCTAATATGATTAATTTTATGAATAATGTATGTCACTTTAGAACATGACTTGCCTTTATAAGTCCAGAAACAAGTTTAATATATATTCAAAAAGGGGATTTGTATTTTCTTAAATATTGCTTGTATATGATTCAAAATTTCAAATTCTGTTACCATTTAGTTAACGTGATCAGCGTTATCCAATAGGTTGAAAAGTAAAATAACATACGTTTATAATATGAATATTCATTAGAATCCTCTTTGGATAAAAAAGTTTTTTTTATCTGGTCTTCAGTCCTTAGAAATAATACGTATACACCTTGCGACATGAATAACACCAAAAACTGACCGATAGGTAAAAGGCTCTGTGTAAATTAACGATACATTTTTAGGGCTTTATGCACATGTAGAATCATGCTGCTAATTATTAAACTAAAAGGTAAATGTTTAACGATGAAAAATATATTTTTTTATCGAACAATAATGCCTAAATAGGACAGCAAGAGTCACCAAATATATTAGACAGAACAACAAATCATCAGACTAGACTTCTAAAAATTAACGTACAAAGACATGGAACACAAACAATATCTATACTGTCGAACAAAGTCTTTTTCGAAATTTTTTTTTATAAATAACGCTTGTATAAAGAGACAACATTGTGTTAAGAAATTGTATACCGAAAGTAATACCTACCATCATTATAATCATGAGAATAACCTGGCTCATTTTTGGACAGGATCTGTGTTTCAGTATCTTCTCTGATAATATTAAGAAAATTTTAAAAGTGATATGAAATCATCAAATGCAAAAAAAATAAATATAAAACATTTATCAAAACGAAAATTGTTGTCGCAACGTTGCTAATGACAAGCATACAAAGGAACTTACTTTAAATAAATCAAATATTAACAGCAATAACTATCCTTTCCTAGATTTAGATGGGTCAGTTTTACACCAGAAACTCTACACAAAAATTTACGACAAAAGGGATGATTTTACTTTCACTGTTGTTAATTTTCCATTTTTAAACGGTGTTGTTCCTTTAACACCGTCTTACGGTGTTTATGTATCCTAACTGGTTCGCTATGCCCGTGTCTGTAGTGACGTTTTGGATTTCAATGAGCATAATCTATGTATAACTGGTAATTAATTAAGTCAGGGATTTCGTTACCACATATTACTTTAAATATTTACTAAATTCTTCCATAGATACAAAGATTTATATTTCAAATTTGGCAAATTGTAGTTAACTTATTTCAAACGGAATAGCATATCCTAAATTTTACGGAGATGTTGTTTACCGAGCCCGGAAACTTAGACAAGATCCGGATAAAATCAGCAATCTTTTAAATAAACTTATTCTAAAGTGTTACCAATTCAATACTGTAATTAGCCCTTTGAATATTGTTTTATTGGTATAAAAATTGATTTTTATATCAGTAAATTAAAACCTTACTAATTATTATTGTTATGCACATATGCAATTTCACGGTACTCCAATCTGTCGATACCTATATTTTGGCATTGCACAAGGTCATGTTTTTCTCTGACTGTTAATGACGTCTTTACACTATATCCATTGAATGTTGGATGTGTACTGATTAATATTTTTGATACTTGTACATGATTGTTTTATTAGTTGTTATTGGATTTGAACTAGCTATCAGTAACTGCAAGTACTCTTAGATCTGGTCTTTGTGTCTTTTTTGTTGTTTGGAATGTATAAATACCCTGTCACGTCCGGTCTGTGTTTTCTTATGTTTTTGTGCTTTTTTTCGATCTGATGAGATAAACCCTTTTCAACTGATTTTTATAGTTTGTTCTTTCGTTGTGTTGTAACACCACTGTCCCAGGTTAGTGAAAGGGTTGAGCGCCCACATACATGTTTAACCCCACTACATTATGTATGTGCCTGTACAAAGTCAGGAGCCTGTAGTTCTGTGGTTGTCGTTAGTTCATGTCTGTCATATATGTTTTTCGTAAAATATTTTGTTATAAATTATGCGGTTAGTTTTCTCAATTGAATTGTTTCATATATTTCATGTCTGTCCTTTTTATAGCCGACTATACGGTATGGGTTTTTCTCATTGTTGAAGGCCGTATGGTTGCCTATAATTGCTTACATCCACTTCATTTCAACTTTGGTGGATAGTTGTCTCACTGCAATCATACTACATCTCCTTATTTTTGCAGAAAAATCACTAACTTCATCAAATCGGTTACGTGAATTTAAAAGTATTTTTTTATGGAAAATGTACATGAAGTTTACTGCAATATCTACTCCGCGGGCATACAATTCGATGAAAATGAAGACTGCTTGGTTTTCTATTATCAATAAATTCGTATATGACAGTTGTTCGTATTGAGTTTTGATGTACGGCGGGGAAAGCTGCACAACAATATTGCATTAAAAATACACTGCAACGTAATTTAGCGCCACAAGGATAAATATTATCTCAATTATTTTAACAAAAAATTATTTCTTTTTCTAGCTGACAAAAAATGAACCCAAGAACCCCCATTTTTTTCTTTTGCGATCGAATATGTACTACTTATAAAATGTTATATTAAATTGCAAGAAAGAATCAACGATATAAAGTTTTCTGTGTGCATTTTTATTAGAAAGAAAAATGTCTTCTGCTTTATATTTCCGATATAATATGATTCTTCAAAATTCTAACTCATTAAACTTTCATTGTAAGGACTGCCCGAAAGGCAAGTAAATAAAGGAACAATTTTCAAAAAACCCGGTGATAATACCTCTTTCCGATTAAAAGTGGTGTAAATTTTTTGGAAAAGTATTGAAAAATGTAAATTTGTGTTTTTGCATGAAACATACAAAACTCAAGCTGAAATATCTCGGAAGGTAAGTCATAATGGGATAATTTTTCTCTGCATATTTCGATAGTGCTTAACAAAATGGACTTTGTGTCAAAATCATTAGGAAAATCAACTAGGGATCTTTTCTGTATTGTATGCCCTTAAGAATTGAATCGGTACTTCTGCTAACAAACTGTTAGTGAAGAGGATACCGTCGTCCAAGAATCAAGGGCTTAATCATTTTGCCTGATATAAATGATACATGTCCATTTAGATTGTGTATGTTCCGTTAATATGTTTTGCAATTGAAAAAGAACTTTGGATGCAACTCATTTAAGCAAGGTTACAAAAGGGGAGTGATCACAGTCGGAATCAGCACTCACAACTGAAAACAAAAAGTATAACAAAATTACTGAACCCCAAGGCAAATTCGAAAAGGGTAACTCCATTAAAACTGACAAAATCAAACGTTATTAATCAAAGAAAAAAGTGAAAAACAACTGCCATATTTCTGACTTAGTACAGGCATTTTTCGAAGGAAATGGTGGGTTAAACCTGGTTTAATAGCTAGCTACTTTCCAATTGTATGAAAGTTGTTTATTGTCCCGTTATATTGACAAAATGGTTAAACAACCCAAACAGACCGAGGTTAATGTGACTATAATTGGAATCAAGCAGCCAAAACTATGTAAACATACATCACAGACATAAAACACAACTGACTTAAAAATTCAAACAAACATACAAATTAATCTAGCAAACTGGCCAACAAAACAATTGCAGAAGAAGAGAGACCGACAACATTATGACAGAAATATAAAATGTCGAAATAACAAACAGCATTCTACAATAAACTACATAAAAACTAAAGACTGAGCAACACGAATCCAAAAACAAGGGTGATCCCATGTGTTTCGGAACGGTAAATAAATCCTGCTGCAGATGTGACAGTCGTTAACATTAGATGGATGAGATGTCCTTTGTCAGCCTATTTGGTAATGATACTTATTTTAGTTACTTGGTACAAGTAATGTCAGGAAATTTTGCTCGTACATATTTGAATTGGTAACATATGTTAATAAATACTTTATTAAGTACAGTTATTGGCAATAGTTTTGTATGTTCATCAACATGTATAGGAACAAGTAATTTCGGGATCACTTTGGCTGCATAAGATCTGACCAAACCTCTTTCGTGTGTCGTTAGGACAATTGAAGGTTACACACCGTGCTCAATTTTCAGTGTTAATTAGGACTGTGTTCGAATTGTAAACAATACGTAAAGTTATTTCAGTAATAAAAAACTGTAAATTGACGATGTAAATAAAAAGGGTTGATTAATCTATGCATATTCACCAATTATTACATTTTTTGTGAATATAAAATTAGTTTGCATCGAATTCCTGACAAATTATATATTTTTAAAAAGTGATGCTATTAAACAATGAGTCGCTCTTATATATGAAAAAAACAACGTTAATATGTCGTTCAGATGTGTTTTCTCAAGCTGCACATAAAACATTCAATGTTTAATTTTCATTCGATTAAGTCATTTCACAGATGATTTGTCTTTGTTGGCAAATTAATGTATAGGTAGATCTGCGATTTTTATGCAATCTTCATAAAAAGTTAAAAAGTCACAAAGGATCAGCAAACATAGTCGTGGCTGGAAAGAAAAATCCAACAAACATTTCACAGAAAAACTAAAAACCCAAAGTGAAAGCACGTGCTAGAAAAGGGTACATGTTTCCTGTTTTGTTGATGAAAACCGTCGTGTTGTGATTTCAGTCAATAAACTGGTGATTAGTAACATTCGATGACGTCACGAATAAGGAAAGAAGGACATAATGGCGGATAGGACAAATGAAACATATCAGTGAGTATCTATTTCAAAACGGTCAACCAAGTCTGCAAACCTCGCAAGAATTACTCTCTCTCACGATCTCTTAATCCAATAGCTTCCATGTAAGCAGTTAGTTTATCAAATTGAAAAATGAAATTTCTCGAATATCTTTAAAAATGGGATATATACTAGTTAACAAAAAAAAACGATACACGACTTGACAAAGCAATATTTTTCAACATTACAAATTAGTCATAGTAAATAACTATAACAAATTTTATCATCATTAATAATAAGCGTAAAAAAACTAAAGATGCACACAAAAATACGGATCAAAGTTCCAATACGGAAAGTGATATTTACGAGATCTAGCTGATACCGGAAATGACTTCTTCTTGACGCAAATATTGCTTCCAATCTTCAACGCATAGGTCTATTCAGTCTTTTGATAAATTAAGGTATGTTACATCCCACAAACATAGCGATTTGTTGCTAGTCAAGCGTTTCCGTTGCTTTCGAGCAATTTTACTCGACAATATGGTATTGCACCTTCACTTTCGTGTACTGAATTTCATTGACACTGGCCATTCTTACAATGTTTGTTTCCATTATTTTCCCTCTTAGTATGAATTTGATTGATTGGTTGTTATTGCTAAATTAATTAATTGATAAATTTAATGAATATTCATTACGAGAAGGAAGCAACAATAAAATAGTATTTTAACTCCTATTGGAAATAAGGCGTTCGAATAACCATGATCTTTCAATTGCCTTGCAACAGGCAACAAACAGGTCAAGCACAAAAGTTCCTGTAGCGTTTTTAACGTGTTTAATGCAGATAGAGAGGATTTTCATAACATAGGTAATAGATCATGAGCAGACGCCGATGATTATGCATGCTGCACATCCCAAAAGGACTTCCCATCAGCATTTGTCTGGTGTTTTTGTAGATTTTTGACAATCTCCCTTTCTATTTTCAAGGAATGACAATTAAAATAATTCATTTATAAATATGTTATCTTACACACTTATAGTTGGTATTGGACACTGTGAGTTTGCAAGCAACTCCTCCACTGATGCACATTTATAATCTGAAGAAGAAAATTCTTTTAATTCGTTATAATAAGTTTACGTCTAAACACCAAAAAAATAAATCTTAGATCAAATGAAATCAACATTTAAAGATTTTATTACTGTGTTAAATTTATTACCTTTTAGAATAAATTTATTCAAAGGATCAATGAGTTTAATTGGATTTTGTAGCTAAGTTTACGGTCTCTATAAACAACATGACCGTAAAAATTAGGATGTGATATCCCGTTTTAAAATGAATTATGCAGGTGCAGCCAAACTTTATTACTAAATATTTGTATCTATGAAAGAATTTGATAAAAATTCTAATTAATTTGTGGTAAGGAAATTCCTGATTTAATCACTTCCCATGTATACATAAATTACCTTCATTGAAATCTAATGCTCGACTACGCGACGACAGACACAGACTTTCCTGAATAGTACGTAATTTAATAGAAGAAAGGGAACTAGTTAACAGGACACATGGTACAGACAGATTAGTCGTAGAACACTAACTATAAAATGACATGAAACGAAATTTGAAGGTTTTTTCTGTAGTTTTGGCAGCCAGTACATAGTAGGAACCTTCCAATGTTCAGATGAGGTCTAAAGCTGAAATGTGGTAGTGACATAATTATTTACTATTTGACTCTCTGTAGAGCGCACGGCCTTGAATGAGGAAACATTTATATTTCACTCTTAGGAACTTTCGTTTAGTATTTACGTCACACCACCACCACCACATTGTTGGCTGCTTTGTAGGCCGGTTCGAAAACAAACCGCTTTGCTAGTACTTGAATTTTGTTTTTATCTTGAAAATGAGCGCATTACTAACCCTTTTATTGATTTTTAAATTATTTTCGAAATGTGATATCTCCCCAATATTCAAACATTCATTCACATAGGAATCGAGTGATTTTTGTCAGATTTCTCCCGTTTACATCATATTTTATAACAGGACGAAAGAGCGATTAGTGTTCGACAAAGGACGATATTTTAGTCCTTTTTCAGAAAGGTTATAACCTCTTGGTCTTGAACGATTTTGAGGTCCCCTGTTATTACATGACCATATGGATCATATTTAAAATTCGATGTTTCATGAAAGATCATTGTTTTCTATACTGACGTCTGTTGTAACTGACGTATAATCAAAAATGAAACTTCTTCTGGCTTTTTATACGTGTATGAAATTATAGGGGCTCTATATTATCAAAATACAGAACGGTCTAGTCATTCAAAATACTAGGTAATTTAGAATATGGCTTTTATGATCTTCAGGTTTGTAATACGAGGGAACAGCTGTGTATGGTGACAACAAGCTGTTATGATGCGTGTACACTCAAATCTTGTGTTGAAAAACAATATTGTGTAATTTACTAACTGGTATTTGACCCAGCTTGCACAACAATGGATGTCTACCTTTTTTCTTTTAAATATAGATATGGATGTTCTTGTGATTATATGAAAAAATCACGTCCTGTTTGTCCTATATTTTGAATACCACATTTCGGTTAATTCATGTTACAAGATAGTTGAGGCTCTGAATTTTTCAAGTAATGTCATTTTCTGGCATAGGTCAGGAATATTTGTGGATATCCTCATCTACATTTGTTGCATAATCCAGCTGCATTATTAAACACGTTTATGAAAAAATGCTAAATTTAGAGGTCAATTTCGATTTGTGTCATTTGAATTTATGTTTGAAATGTAGTTTTATAAGCCCGTAGATATTCGGGAAGTGGATATTTTTTTTTTAATTTTACCTTTTCTTACACCTTTTCATGAAGTGTCCAACTCTGGAGGAAAAGATAACTGTTCAAACCATACAAATGTGCAGAATCTCAAAAACACTAACCAATTCAGTGCAGTATTTTATTTTTTTTTTTAATACCAAAATAGACATTGTTGTAGAAAAACAACGTGCCTCTATAGTTTCGGAGTTACAGAAAAACTGCAGACAAAAGTTGACTTCAAAGGAGAAGGGATAAAATCCGCTTTTCTTTTAAAAGAGACTCCGTTATCTGGACCGCATTTAGAACTTTTGCCAGGCTTAAGTGTTTATGAAGCATTCGACTAGATTGATTCAGAGAATAAGGTTAACTCGCTGCATTTATTTGCACACGTCCTAAGTCAGGAGCCTGTTGTTCAGTGGTTGTCGATTGTTGGTTTGGTTTATAAGCGTTTCTCGTTTTTCGTTGTTTTATATAGATTAGACCATTGGTTTTCTTGTTTCAATTGTTTTACACCTGGAAGGAGATTGAGAAGAAGGCAAAAGACTAGCCAATATGGCGGGGACTGGTTGAGGCCTTTTGTGCTGACAGTCACGAAGAGGATGCGACCTTAGATTTGATCTTACCAGCGAATATTATCATATAAATATTCAATCCAATTTTCATATATTCAGGGTTTTTCTTAAAAATTTAGTATTAAGATACGACTTTTCGTATTTTCAGTTCTAGCAGCGCTATTTATATATTAACAAAGAAATAAGACCCTTAGTTTCTTTAGTCTCCTTTTGGAGGTCTGTGGATTTGTGATGATTTCTAGAGTTGTGAGTAGGCAAGTGTACATTTGCAAAATTATCTTAAACACGCAGGTTTTCTTGTGAATGAAAAAAAAAGTCAAAGGCACCCGATTCAAGTTTTTGGACTGTTTAGGTTTTACCTGGAACCTTTTGGAATGGAGCCATTGATATGCCTGTTCATAAATTTGAAAATCTCCGCACTTAAGTGCAACCTTAGGCTTATGATAAGCTTCACTTTTGGTGTCAAAATATTGATAATGTATCACCTAGAGTTAGTTCCCCTTGGTGCGGACTACCAGAGCGTATTATTTACACGTATGTAAGTGATCACGCTGGAGCTGGTATTTTACTAGATGAGGCTACCTAAAATTTAACTGTATGTGGAATGAGGTTGATAAAGGTCTCATACTTTAGAGAGCTAAAAGATGTAGATTAATTACTGAAGACACTGGTGTTCAAACCTTAAGAACAAATTTGTAAAACTATATTTAGATATTAATCAGAATGTCATTAGAATTGTCAAAATTGGCAGTATGAAGTCATTGCTTCAGTGATTTGTGTTTTCTTTATTTCATTCTTGTCTTCTGTGTAATATTGATTTATTAGTTGATTGGTTGCCCAGACAAATTCTAGCAGTGATTTCATTAGTAAGATCTTCGACTTTGACGATTTGGGTATACATTAGTGTATTTTCAGATATTTTGATAAATCATAAGCCCCTTTACCCGCGATACATTTGCTATTAGTAACAACTATTAAGTTGGGAAAAGTGTTATTTTTTATTCTAGACGCCAGGTTCTAGCGGGGTTTACGCTTTCGCCCACAATTGGGTACAGCTGGATAGTTCCACATATACAGTTGAGAACGGTTACACATTTGTTTTTTTTTTTGTTTTTTTTTGTATATATAAAGGTGTACTCGGTGTGCCAAAATGAGTATCGGCATCTTTTTAGCCGGCTATCGTTGATTTGATTGAACAATTTAAACCTTGCATTGTAGATTAATTAGAATAGAAATATCCAATTAACTCTTTGAACAACTGGTTCAGATAATCTAGCATTTTACTCAGACTTTCCAAAGCAGTGTCTATGTGTTACGTGTTGATGCTAATCTTATTTGAGTATTTCTCCTGTAATTTTAACTTCTTGTGCGCCTCTTTTTAAGTTTTAATATATAATAAGAGAGGTGTGTATACTGATACGGAATATGGAGATGTTAATTTGCAGAGAACTGTGCTCCCTTTAAGAGATGACTCTATACTATTTTTGTACATATGGAATATGGGATGTTTATTTGAAGAGAAGTACTGTACTCCCAATTAAGAGCTATCCGCATTCTGTATAAATTAAGTTTATGTAGGACTCCACTTTCTTAATGATAATTAGAGCGTTTGTTTTGAGCAATTTTGTTAAATTGCTTGAATGTACTTTTATATGTGTTTACAAATACATGCACATATTTATCTATAATCATGTTTGGTTATTTTTCTCATTCATTAGTCTGATATTTTTTTACAGATGCTTCACACTTGGTCAACCAAAGAACTGGACAAATTTAAGTCTCAGATCTAGATCTCTACACATATTCATTGATACATATATGTGATTTTTTAATAATAAAATGATGCGATATTTGTAACAATACACAACCCACATTCTTGTACGTTGGTTTTTTTTTTGTTAGTTCAAATAAATATTTGTTTTGTACGAATGCAATATAAATACGAAGATGTGGTACGATTGTCAATGAAACAACCATCCACAACAGACCAAAAGATGTAAGCTTTGTTTTTTTAAAATAGATACAAAATTATTAATTATCGGTAAGCATGTCCTTTCATGCACAATTTCACATAAACATGTGAATTTGCCGATATTGAACCAACACTACCTAAAGCTACAATATTTAGGGTTGATTGAAATGTTTATTTATTGACATTTGTAAACTGGGTGCTAAATTAGGACATTGGATTATTTTATCAGATTTTGACCAAAGAGCCTACCTCTTTATCGGAAAATTTCTGTATTTGATAATCTTCTGTTAATATATTGGAACAAACTAAAAATAATAAGAGACCATAACAAAATGTGAAACTTTAATCTAAAATATTATAAGCATATTGAAGTTATTGAAATTTGGATGGACAATGTCTAAATCTTATGCTCTTTAGATGACTAACGTTACCTTTAAAAACAAAACAAACATCCTTATTAAGGGTTAATTATTTGACCTCCACATACTAGAATCAAAACATGTATACACAAAAGAGTAAACATTCATTGCAAATATCACTAGAAGAGTTTATTTATTGATACAAAAAATGCGTATGATGTGCGTTTTTAATTACAAACGTTCACAACATTTAAAAAGAACACATCGATGACGGTTAGATTATAATCCACACTTAACATTACTTAATATGTATATATGTTATACCTGGAGAAAGTACAAATCCACTAGGACATTGCCTGATGAAACAAGAACAGTCTTCTTCAGAGGGAATACAGAAGCATGTATTTCTTGGTCTAACGACAAAATCGTATCCCTGTGTGTAGTCACATCTACACGTACTGTCTGCTTTGGTTGTACCCAATGAAAAAGGTATTTGTCCTTCGCCGGCGCAAATTGATTTTTCAAATTTGCAACTGCTACTACCATTTGTCCAGAAAATAAAGGGTTGATAACGATCACTCGCACATTGTACACCTTCTAAATTTCCAACTATTTGTATTTTATACCCTACAAAAATTGCACACGTATTAATTTTTCGAAACTTTGCCGCGCTGCGATGATGACAGACTGACCTTGATTTGTTTTCTTATTTATTACATTTCTTAAAACACAATTGTGTGCGAAATATTTGTTCGGGTAACGTATACATATTTATAACGAATAACATTGCTCCATATCTATCTTAAACCCACATGTTAAAATTAAATGAACAAGGCATTTCTACATCTTTCTAAAACCCATATTTGAAGATAAAAATTAACAAGGTATCCCGGTGAAAGTACAGTTTGGAATGATATCTAATTTTAAAAGACAAAAAAAAACCCCAACATTATCTGATTAGAAAATAGTAGTCTGCAGCATTGGAATTTAAAATCATCTGATTTTTTAAAAGTATAATACTGATTCCCGTGCACACGGTAAGTGACATGATCTGGTACTTTTCAATACCAAAACTCGAAAAACCAAAATATTCTAAATATTAAAATGCAAATACTTAAATGATTTAACAGACCTGCCAAAACTGTATAAGTTTATTTGCTTGAATAGACTTTTAATATACATTCAGATAAGGATAAGGATACTGACTTTTGTTTACAACATGAGAACAACACAAATCTATTTGAATAATATAAGGCATAAGGTGTAAGCCAGCCACTTAACTTCCAAGTTTATTTGAAATAACACTGACTGTACCAATTTCAATGCACCAGATACGCATCAATAATTATATCTATTCAGTGAGGCTCTAGGCCAAAATATTTGTAAGTCGAAAACCTATTCTTTACAGAGCTGATAAAAAAACAAACAAAAGTCAAGTCAAACCAAGACCAGGATTTAAAGCAACATACTTAATAAACCTCTTATGACAGCTTTTACAAATATGACAGTAAAATAAAAGTAAAACCAAACAAAACTATATTCGAAAACAGTATCGTAAAATATAGAATTTTACATAGCAACCACATACAAGACTTGTTAATAACATGAATGGTGTTAGTTTTATCGAAGATGCGCATTTCGACATACATTTGTACATGCTAAAAAATTCCAAAGTTCTGTTAGAGTCCATATCTTTATGCAATAGAATATATAGGGACATGATTTTCGAATGTTTAGACAAGTATTTCTTATTCTGAATTTGATAACAGATTGAAACAAATGGGTCATCTTTGTTAAATATGACAGGTTACATGAAATAAATGCCGAATCTTGTTTTATTGCCATCAGGCCCTTCTTCTTTTTATTGACAATTTTGTTTTGGTCTGTTGGTTGCCTTTATATAATAAATTCAAGAGTCTATCCTAAATTGAGGTAAATTATATGGCCTTCCAAATACCGTTTCGATTCCTAACATCACTGAAGAGACATTAATTGTCGAAATCCGGATATGGTGTTCAAATCTTTTGCACCTCATGTTTGCGGTATACCATCTTTTCCGCAAGTTTATTGTTTTCTGTTTGGTAATAATTTAATAATAAGATCTGTTTTGCTACATCTTGTGATCCGTTTATTTGGCAATCGCCAATGGCAGTCAGCAGGGTTTATGAACATCAGTTGTTCGACCTGCTAGTCAAATGCGTTTTGTCAAAATATACTTTTTCACTCATTTGGTCTTTTGGAAAATGTTGTTTGTGCTGTATTTAGACCCCTCTACCAAGAAATTTGTTTTGCATGCACACGTATAAAAATTGCTGTTTTTATCCAACGCAATCATAGGTTTGAACGTTGTTTTCAATTTAGACTTGTTTATATTTTTTCGTTTGGGCTTGTATTATATTTGCCTTCGGGTTTGTATGATCCGTTCATCCTATTTTGACTCTTTCAAAATTCAAGAGTCTATCCTAAATTGAGGTAAATTATATGGCCTTCCAAATACCGTTTCGATTCCTAACATCACTGAAGAGACATTAATTGTCGAAATCCGGATATGGTGTTCAAATCTTTTGCACCTCATGTTTGCGGTATACCATCTTTTCCGCAAGTTTATTGTTTTCTGTTTGGTAATAATTTAATAATAAGATCTGTTTTGCTACATCTTGTGATCCGTTTATTTGGCAATCGCCAATGGCAGTCAGCAGGGTTTAAGAACATCAGTTGTTCGACCTGCTAGTCAAATGCGTTTTGTTAAAATATACTTTTTCACTCATTTGGTCTTTTGGAAAATGTTGTTTGTGCTGTATTTAGACCCCTCTACCAAGAAATTTGTTTTGCATGCACACGTATAAAAATTGCGGTTTTTATCCAACGCAATCATAGGTTTGAACGTTGTTTTCAATTTAGACTTGTTTATATTTTTTCGTTTGGGCTTGTATTATATTTGCCTTCGGGTTTGTATGATCCGTTCATCCTATTTTGACTCTTTCAAAATTCAAGAGTCTATCCTAAATTGAGGTAAATTATATGGCCTTCCAAATACCGTTTCGATTCCTAACATCACTGAAGAGACATTAATTGTCGAAATCCGGATATGGTGTTCAAATATTTTGCACCTCATGTTTGCGGTATACCATCTTTTCCGCAAGTTTATTGTTTTCTGTTTGGTAATAATTTAATAATAAGATCTGTTTTGCTACATCTTGTGATCCGTTTATTTGGCAATCGCCAATGGCAGTCAGCAGGGTTTAAGAACATCAGTTGTTCGACCTGCTAGTCAAATGCGTTTTGTTAAAATATACTTTTTCACTCATTTGGTCTTTTGGAAAATGTTGTTTGTGCTGTATTTAGACCCCTCTACCAAGAAATTTGTTTTGCATGCACACGTATAAAAATTGCGGTTTTTATCCAACGCAATCATAGGTTTGAACGTTGTTTTCAATTTAGACTTGTTTATATTTTTTCGTTTGGGCTTGTATTATATTTGCCTTCGGGTTTGTATGATCCGTTCATCCTATTTTGACTCTTTCAAAATTCAAGAGTCTATCCTAAATTGAGGTAAATTATATGGCCTTCCAAATACCGTTTCGATTCCTAACATCACTGAAGAGACATTAATTGTCGAAATCCGGATATGGTGTTCAAATCTTTTGCACCTCATGTTTGCGGTATACCATCTTTTCCGCAAGTTTATTGTTTTCTGTTTGGTAATAATTTAATAATAAGATCTGTTTTGCTACATCTTGTGATCCGTTTATTTGGCAATCGCCAATGGCAGTCAGCAGGGTTTAAGAACATCAGTTGTTCGACCTGCTAGTCAAATGCGTTTTGTTAAAATATACTTTTTCACTCATTTGGTCTTTTGGAAAATGTTGTTTGTGCTGTATTTACACCCCTCTACCAAGAAATTTGTTTTGCATGCACACGTATAAAAAGTGCGGTTTTTATCCAACGCAATCATCGGTTTGAACGTTGTTTTCAATTTAGACTTGTTTATATTTTTTCGTTTGGGCTTGTATTATATTTGCCTTTGGGTTTGTATGATCCGTTCATCCTATTTTGACTCTTTCAAAATTCAAGAGTCTATCCTAAATTGAGGTAAATTATATGGCCTTCCAAATACCGTTTCGATTCCTAACATCACTGAAGAGACATTAATTGTCGAAATCCGGATATGGTGTTCAAATCTTTTGCACCTCATGTTTGCGGTATACCATCTTTTCCGCAAGTTTATTGTTTTCTGTTTGGTAATAATTTAATAATAAGATCTGTTTTACTACATCTTGTGATCCGTTTATTTGGCAATCGCCAATGGCAGTCAGCAGGGTTTAAGAACATCAGTTGTTCGACCTGCTAGTCAAATGCGTTTTGTTAAAATATACTTTTTCACTCATTTGGTCTTTTGGAAAATGTTGTTTGTGCTGTATTTAGACCCCTCTACCAAGAAATTTGTTTTGCATGCACACGTATAAAAATTGCGGTTTTTATCCAACGCAATCATAGGTTTGAACGTTGTTTTCAATTTAGACTTGTTTATATTTTTTCGTTTGGGCTTGTATTATATTTGCCTTCGGGTTTGTATAATCCGTTCATCCTATTTTGACTCTTTCAAAATTCAAGAGTCTATCCTAAATTGAGGTAAATTATATGGCCTTCCAAATACCGTTTCGATTCCTAACATCACTGAAGAGACATTAATTGTCGAAATCCGGATATGGTGTTCAAATCTTTTGCACCTCATGTTTGCGGTATACCATCTTTTCCGCAAGTTTATTGTTTTCTGTTTGGTAATAATTTAATAATAAGATCTGTTTTGCTACATCTTGTGATCCGTTTATTTGGCAATCGCCAATGGCAGTCAGCAGGGTTTAAGAACATCAGTTGTTCGACCTGCTAGTCAAATGCGTTTTGTTAAAATATACTTTTTCACTCATTTGGTCTTTTGGAAAATGTTGTTTGTGCTGTATTTAGACCCCTCTACCAAGAAATTTGTTTTGCATGCACACGTATAAAAATTGCGGTTTTTATCCAACGCAATCATAGGTTTGAACGTTGTTTTCAATTTAGACTTGTTTATATTTTTTCGTTTGGGCTTGTATTATATTTGCCTTCGGGTTTGTATGATCCGTTCATCCTATTTTGACTCTTTCAAAATTCAAGAGTCTATCCTAAATTGAGGTAAATTATATGGCCTTCCAAATACCGTTTCGATTCCTAACATCACTGAAGAGACATTAATTGTCGAAATCCGGATATGGTGTTCAAATCTTTTGCACCTCATGTTTGCGGTATACCATCTTTTCCGCAAGTTTATTGTTTTCTGTTTGGTAATAATTTAATAATAAGATCTGTTTTGCTACATCTTGTGATCCGTTTATTTGGCAATCGCCAATGGCAGTCAGCAGGGTTTAAGAACATCAGTTGTTCGACCTGCTAGTCAAATGCGTTTTGTTAAAATATACTTTTTCACTCATTTGGTCTTTTGGAAAATGTTGTTTGTGCTGTATTTAGACCCCTCTACCAAGAAATTTGTTTTGCATGCACACGTATAAAAATTGCGGTTTTTATCCAACGCAATCATAGGTTTGAACGTTGTTTTCAATTTAGACTTGTTTATATTTTTTCGTTTGGGC